CAAATTCAATATTCAAGAGATAATATAAAACCGTTTCAAAACTGTCAGTTATTAGGTGAGCAAGTAATACCAGCAATTCTGGTTGAGGCTAGAGTCAGTGCTTTCACCTTCATCTCTAAGGTAAAACGCAAAAACAACTGATGGACTTTCCAAGAATTGAGAGAAGTTGCATCCATCCCATCCAACATGCACTGAAAGCCAGGTCTGACCAGACCTGCCCATTCTAACTTGAATAGTCAGATGAAGTTGAACCACAAAGTGAAATCGATAACAACTGTGTAAAACAGGTAACTTTATTTTGTGACTGTTTAGCAGCTTCTAATTTCAAAGTTACAAAGGTACAACACTGACATTCATGAATACTTGTTTTAATAGAAAAGCATTCTTAAATTTTTCAGAAGTTCTCAGAGGCTGGAGTGCAACAGAAGGTGCGATGCATGTGTGGTTACGCGACTTCCACTATTGCCAACGGTGTCAGTGTCTTCTTAGTTAAGCTCCCCATTGGTGCTGTACTGGTTTAACATGAATAGCTGTGACAAAATACAACAAATACTGTAAGACAGTTGTAGTTTCTGTATCTGGTGTCCCCCCCCTCCATCTACTTATATCTAAAAATCAATTCCCTTCTTCCATCAGTGAAAGGCTAATTGCCATCTGAATTTTACATTTTACTGTACTATCAAACCTAATGATTTGCTATAAACTTTTGATTGTTCCATGCCCTCAAATAGGTAATCTAACTTCTCACTTCAATGCAAAATATAGTCCAATATCCTATTCCTTTTAAGTATTCTGCATACCTGAATCAGGTTTCAGGTGAGAGCCCATTGCAAAGTTAACATACTCCTCCAGCTGATAGTGTGCTGCAGAACATCGTTAAAATGAAAAGGTATGTCCTGTCCTAATGTCTGATGCAGAGTCATGTATACCTGCATTACCACTGATGGGTGTGTGTCATTGATTCTTGTTCCTATCCAGGCAATGTGTTTCAACATGAATTGGCCACACACTTCTTCCTCACATGTAACCTAAGTCATCTTTATTACAAATTAAAGCAATTACTTATTATTCTCTCTACAATGAACACAGAGAAAAGTTATCTCCTCTTTATAACCTTGAATCAACTCATGCCAAGAAGAGCTTTGAAAAAACCACACGATTCCTCTAATAATCTTTTATAGTTCTGATAACACCTTTCAGATTATGTCAGCTCACAGCTACTACGCACTCTCAGATAAATCCATAGCACTGCATGCCTAATAAGTAGTAAAAACATCCACTTCCATTTCACTAGAGAAGCACATCAGTATATTTTTGTATTATATTTTATATGTCTATAAAATACAGGGATGGCCAATTACTCACACATTAACCATTATGCTTGGTTATTACTGTAAACCCCTACCAAGGAGGAAAAGCTTCACTCCTTAAAAAGGCTGAAAAATACACTCAAAGCAACAATCAGCTTGCCTTGCAAATCAAGTCAGTGTGAAATGTCACTTGTCTGCTCCTCTAAGCATTGGCTTTCTATTGAGTACAAGCTAACTCTAAGCCCCTTCCCTCCTCTCCCTACCCTTGTGACCATGGCTGCTCTGAAACCTCTGTTCTAACACAACAGCCAACTTATTGACCAACACCAAGATGGTCGCAAGTACAGAAAGCAGCTCTGACAGGCACTGTAGCTAGATTACCAGAAACCATTACCTGCAAGAGGTAGTTGCCCACCATGGGTCTAATCCCCTTTTAAATTAGTGGAGAAAATTATTTTCAGTGATCATTTTCCTTCCCCCCCACTGCTACATGTCAACAAAACCAACAGCAAAGCCCTACAGAAAAGCTAGCTAGCCTTCCTACAGGCCAGAAGGTATTTCCCTCTCAAGGTCTGCAACCCTGCAAGCAGGGCACATGACTGCTTAGCTAGCGTCAAGTACTTCATTTAAACTGATTGCAATCTACCTTTTCAAATCTACTCAGTGAACTATAGGGATAAAGAAAATGATTTTTTTTCCCCACCCTGGAAGAGTTTAAAATGAGAACTTTAACATGATAATAAATATGATGAAATAAACATCTCAAAATGAGAACTCATACATCACCATTTCAGTTTATTTCCAGTTTAGCTTTCATTTGTTTCTCCAGTTGTCTTAGAAATCAGGCCTTCTTTCTCTCTCCCAATAAAAAAATATTTAAATTGGGAAATATGCATTATTTTTTATTTTACATCTACAGCAATATCTATTCATTTTTTCTACCTATTTTAAATTCTAAATACTTTAATTACAAATTACATTGTGTTTCTACTGTGAATAGCATTTCATTTTGCTTGGATGACAACAGTAACAACCACACAGGCATTTATGTAGTAAGTACCCTGGTTATTATGAAAAAGCCAAAGAAACCCACTGGACTTGTATGCTTTTGAAAGCAGTACCTATTTCAATACAGAAACAGCATCCTTCAGGCCAAGACTGGCTTGAAGAAAGACAGCCATTGTTTTCGTTATTTAAATTAAATAAAGTTCTCCTGCTAGAATAGATGTATGGTTGTCAGCATCAGGAAGGTTTTAACTGTAGTGATTTACAGTTATTAAACCAAACAGCTACAGAGCTTTGTCACTCTCACCTGGCATTAGGAAAAGGCCAGGAGTCCCTCCAAGCAGTGGCCATTTTGCAGGTTGATGTCAATATCCCAGAAGTCCAAATCCTTTAGCAGGTGCTAAAAGAAGAGGTGGAAAGTTATCCTTTGCATCTGACAGTCCTGTTTGGAAGTGGTTTTTGTTTTTATTGTCAACTGTTTTAAAACAGACAGTAAAATCTGTTTTTGTGTGTACAGGACACTCTCTTAACTGTGAGGCTCTAAAAACACCAGGCTTAAGAAATGCCAGTTACCTATCTGAAAACAAGTAGAGAAACATATAGAAACGAGCACTGCAGACAAAGCAGTGACACCACACACCAACAGCTACAAATGCCTTAGCCTTTATCATCCATAGTGCCCTACTTTAAAAGATGTACAACCACTGAGCTGCAAGTATAACCTTCCTGTACATATTTAACAGAGCACACTGACCTACAGTGTTACTAATCTTAGCATGAGCACACTACAAAGTAAAACTCTCCCTGATATTAATGTTAACCTGCACACACAAGTTAAAACACAAACTGACAAATGAAGTGCCATTGGTATGGAAAGTTAAAGCCAGATTTTACTTCCAAGTGATTTTGTCATGACAAACAGATGTCATCTGAGGCTGGTTCTGAGCAAGGATTTAATCCATAATGTAGGTCACTAGTTTTGATACAGTTTGCACCTAGTATTCATTCCAAGGAATCAGACTCAGCACTAATGTCAATAGCTGTCAAGAGTGTACATGTGGTTTCTTTTTACACTACCATTTAATAAAAGAAAATAATCCAATTAAGCAGATGTCACAATAATTTTTGCTGACTTCCCTATTTATTTCAACCATTAAAGCAGTATTTAATTTACAAAGCTCCATACTCTAATCCTATGCATCCAAGAATATTCATGTTTAAAACCTGAACCGCCCTTGCCGTTTCTGCTGCCCTTTTGGTTTTCAATGAGCTTCAGTAACTCAAAAGAATTGCAGCCAACTTGGTAACCAAAAAAGAAAGCTTTGTAGAATGGGAAAAGTTCACAACAGGGGAAGAAAAAAGCCTTTCTAAAATAGCCAGGTGTTCACCTCAACCCATACCAACTTCAAACAGATGCAAGGACAGTAGTTGAATCCGATTTCAGACTAAGGACATGAAAGATGAGCTTTATATTCTTATCCTTTTATAATGTTAGAACGAATTCATTTTTAGATAAAGAATAGTATACTCCCCTACTCTCCTATTCTTTCACATAAAGTTTGCTCTGAAAATAGCATCGCTGAGTTCCAGTCTTTCAACTATTATTTGATCACTGCCAAATATTTGCAAGTTCAAATTTTTCCACATCCCACCCATCTACTTGATTGTAGTTCACATAGTATCTACTATGTTTTGTTCTACTTTTATCAGTAAATGTACTGTGGCAAGTGATCAAGCCAGTCATGAAAACAGAATTAATTACTTTGAAATACAAAACTGAAATAGCATTGGAAGAGCCCCTTACAGTCTGTCACCCAAATGAAGGTTTCACCTGACAAAGGGGTGATTGGCCTAAGACAGCAGTCCTGCTTGGCAGTGGAAGAGGTGGAGGATTACTTAAGGTATAGGTGGCAATTCTTGTACATGGCCTTGCATCCTCATGACATTGCGTCTTCAGCTTCAGTTGAAGGATCAGATTGTTCATTTAAACTAAGCCTTGTTGAACAAAAGTGGTAAGCAATTCTTCAAGAGACATTAAGAGCACAAGCAGAAGCTCGCCAGAATCTCACTATCCCCTTATCACAAGGGGATCCAAGAATTTCCCTTAGAGTAGCTCCTAAGATCAAAATGGCTCAGATATTCCAAGTCTATAATTTGCATACGTAGCTGGGTTTTTTCTTTTGGAGATGTTCTTCTGGATTTTAAATTTTTAATTAAAATAAGTTTATACACCATTATATTACTGAATTCAGTTAAACCAAGAGTTGCATTCTGCTTAACAGACTGACAGATATCACTAACTTAAATGCATTTATGCATACAGTGTTATTAAAACTTAAATACTCAACAGCATTAGCAGATGATCAAATACTCACTTTACAACCAAAACCTGTGAAAGAGCAACTGCCCGTTAGGGGACTTGTGTATATGTCCTTATAACATGTCCAGTTCTGTGAAGAATATATGCACCCTACTTCAGGATGCACATGCCTATTAATACACACACACTGGCATTTTATACATGAACTTTGGATCTCTAGTGCCTATCATTTATTTACAGATTTATGTGGAATGTACCCAAGCTTATTTATATCAGATTTAAAAGATGCTTGAAGTTCTATTTCAGTGCAAAAAAATATGAATACCTCCAAACGTATATTTTCTGGTCTTTGCATAGTCACTTACCAAGTTGAACTCCACCCAATCCAGATATTTCCCACGCTTAACAGAAATATGTAACATCCAGAGGCACACTGTACATCTCAGCTCCCACACTAGGCAGTCATCTACCACATCAGCTGCCTTGTGTGAAACCCTGGTACACTCCTGTTGCTCACACTCAGCAAATATATTGCCAAAAGCTTTAAGTATGAGAGCCAGTGAATCCTCCACAGGCATGTTATGATGCACTACAGAGAAGATATAGCTGGCTTTATCAAGCTTGTGTTTTCATCTGCTTCACACATTTACAAAAAGATAGAAGAATATAGCTGTTAAGTCTGTGCAATATAACTGAGATATTTAGAGCCTTCAGTTCAGTATTGATATAGCCCTCCTGTACACTTAGTTTTGATTCAGCACCAGTATATGAACTTCATTTGAAATATAAGTAAAAAGTTGTAATTTCTTTCCCACTCAAAACATTATTTGTCATTCATGATCTAAAGCTAAAACTGAGATGAAGATTCCCAATTCCATACAAAGACTTTCACAAACACCTATACCTGAAATAGGATTAGTACAGATTTTTTTTTTCTTCTTAATTTCAGGGTATTTTTTACCTAACTGGAGAACAGAGCAGTTACTTTCCCTCCAGGAGAAACTGCCTTTTTACTATTGTGTTCTTGATATAAGAAAAGATGCAAAATTTGTAAAATTACAATAAAAAGTTCTGAAACAAACAAAAAAACTTTAAGAAGGATTTTGATTCATTTACATAGAATCAATGCAAGAAAGTGAAATTTTAATTAAGCAATTTCTATATAACTTCCTATCATTAATTATTATATGCGACAGTTTGTTGCATGCATTTTATGCCATTTAAGCAACAATTGAGGACAGATATTTAATCACGCCATGTATTATGAATTATTAGAAGTTATTTCAGTGAACTATTTCAAAGTTGTCTCATTTTAACTAGGTCAAATTCTGTTATGAAGAAATGCAATGCATCAGCATTTAAAATTTTAATGGGTTGAAAGAAATTTAAACTGTAGTTCTGAATGGGGACTATTTTAAGTGACATCTCAAACAAGCTAAACTTTCTTTTGATAGCATAATGAAGCACAATTGCAGTCCAAGAGGAAAGTGCTACATTGGTCTGTTCAAGAATACAAAACCCTCATTTTTAACTTCTTGGAGTGCACGTGTGAGATCTGACTTACATAAGGTATATTATTTCCACCACAAGACCAGGTTCTTGTAACTGTTTGCCTATAACTCTAGCATATTCCCCTGAAGAAAAGAGAAGCTGGTTATATACAAATAAAAATCTGTGTCATTGTTTCCCATTGCTGTGCTGTTGTCGCCATCTTGTATGTGCCAGAAGCCACAAGTATCAAGTCCAGTGTTGTGAGGTGTAAAAAACCCCACGAAACAGTGTGTTCATTGATCAGATACACCTTCTACAATATCAGGAAGCAACAGTGATCTATTTTAAGCCACATGGAGAAAAATCTGAAATTATTGGTCAAAGTATAGTAGGAAGCTGTAATATACATAAAAGGAAGTTTTTTAGTTAGTGATTCCTGCTTGATCATGTTTTAGTGCTAGATTTGAGAGTGAAATACACTGATTATTGAAGTTATTTATATTTAGCATTTGATTTTATCTCATCATCCTAGTACACTGGGAAATAGTCAACTGAAAAGAATAGTCTGTTATGAACTATTATACTGGCATTAGTGTAGTTTTGTTAGTAGCCTGTTTTTTGAAAAAATACTGATGATAAAGAGCACAAAAATTAAGAGTAGTTATCCATATGTTCTGAGGATAGATGCCAAACGTTATCCTTTAAGAATTTTACTGATATCTTGATTTTAGTCTTTTAGACTTGGAAAATCACATTTCTTACTAGTAGCAATATGGAGAGATGAAAGTCACTAGCTCCATTTGCTTCACCAACAAAAAAGCTTGCTAACACTGATTCTGAAATTACCAATGGGACAGTAGACAGTCAAGGAAGAACTATGGCTTATTTTTCATATACTGTAGTACACCTACTTTTTTTTAAACAGTTCTAAAAATGTTTCATTTACATAAAGCAACATATTTGACTTAAAACAACTGAAAACAAATTGATTTGTCAGCTTCAATTATTTAATTAGTTCAAAAAATTAGAAGTCAATTTACAACCTGCTCTGATTATCCCACATGATCTTTGCATTTCAGGCACATTAACCAATCCAGCTGCAGCAGCTGTAGTTCTTCCCATCTGGATTTCAAGTCTCTCTACTACTGACTAAACATTTCAATAGACCACTGTCCTGGTTTCGGCAGGGATAGAGTTAATTTCCTTCCTAGTAGCTGGTACAGTGCTGTGTTTTGGATTTAGGGTGAGAACAATGTTGATAACCCACCGATGTTTTAGTTGTTGCTAGGTAGTGCTTACACTAGCCAAGGACTTTTCAGCTTCCCATGCTCTACCGACTGAGAAGGCTGGAGGTGCACAAGAAGCTGGGAGGGGGCACAGCCAGGACAGCTGACCCAAACTGGCCAAAGGGACATTCCATACCACGGGACGTCATGCTCAGCATATAAAGCTGGGGGAAGAAGAAGGAAGGGGGGGACGTTTGGAGTGATGACGTTTGTCTTCCCAAGTCACCATTGTGTGTGATGGAGCCCTGCTTTCCTGGAGATGGCTGAACACCTGCCTGCCGATGGGAAGTAGTGAATGAATTCCTTGTTTTGCTTTGCTTGCGTGCGCGGCTTTTGCTTTACCTATTAAACTGTCTTTATCTCAACACACGAGTTTTCTCACTTTTACCCTTCCAATTCTCTCCCCCATCCCACTGCGGGGGGGGAGTGAGCGAGCGGCTGCGTGGTGCTCAGTTGCCGGCTGAGGTTAAACCACGACAACCACTAAGCCATAATAGTGGCAGAGAATTTCCAACTCATTTGAAGAGATTATGTACCACTACACTTCTGCAACACTCCATGAACTGAAACAGAACATCTGGTGTATTCCCAATCATATTTGAGCATCAGAAGGGGATATGTCAGATATGGAGGTCAGTGAGGAAGAGAATTAAATATTGTATTGAATTCTGGTGCTGTAAATGCAAAGAAAAGCAACTCTCAGCTTAAAATAATTTTGTTGATTATGTTATTAGAAGATGTGTGAAGACAGAATATATGATGTACATTTCCTATAAGTTTCAAATGGATTAAATACATAGGAAAGTGATACCAATAACAAATTTGGTATAAAATACTTCGCTACAGGGAGGAAGAGAGAAATGAAAGTTAGAATATCAAAGCAGCAATAAGGAATTGAAAAGAGCTACAGTTTAGATTTCCAGTTCTCCAGGTAGTCCTCTTACAAGAAGAATGAATTCTGTGTATTTGAGTGGTTAAGAGCTCTGTATGCAAGTTGACCCAGCTCACCTCCAGAAGACGAACAGCGATATAATGAAAACTCACTCTTTTCCAGGATTGGACACACTCATGATAGAAGTTTGTCTTCTGTTTAACAGAATGTTACTTTAAGAATTCACTTTTCCAAAGTGTTCTGGTTTTGCTTCAAGTACTGACTAAGAACTAGAGACTAGACAAAATAAAGTTCTATGCACCTGAAAGTCCTTTTTATATAGCCAACTTCTATTTTTCCTTCTGTTGGCAACTGTGAAAGGAATCTTTCACATTAGAAAGGTATCTGACATACATCCAAACCTGCAATGATTACTCAGGCAAAAATATCTGAAACTACTTTTAGTAGGTCTAGATTAAGAGACCACAAAATCTAACCAAATGCTGCAAGGTAGCCTTTAAAACAGAAAAGAGAAGTTATGATTGGATTAAGATCAGACTTAATTCTCAAGTCAATTTTTTTTAAGAACCTAGACAGGTACCTCATGACTGTCATACTCCAAAGGCTGGGAGATGCTCAGAAATTTTAGGACTAAGTAGAAGTATTAAGGAGATCCAGAAACATTAAATAGGGATGATCTTCAAACATTATCTACATATTTGCAGGGTCACATTTCTGAACTGGGTTACACTTACCTATGTAATTACCATTGCTGTAATAGAATTAGCTGAAAAAATCTTAATAGAAACCTACTTTTTCTCCTTGCTGATGGCAACAGTGACAGTCAGAAGGTGTGTCATTCTTTCTGCATCTGTTGGTAAAACTGCAGGTATTGCTTCTCTCTACAATCATCCCTGGTGCAGTCACCTGCAACCAAAGGAAAAATCAATTAAGCAACAGCACAGACTGCAAAGCTATATTAGAACATCACCAAGTCTTCACTACTCTACCATTTAACAATACTGTCAAAAATGATAAAAATAGTTCTTTGAAGCAAAGTGGGTTTTTTCCCTTTTCTTTTTCCCTGAGGAAATTAGTTAGACATGCAAGAAGGCATAAGAAACATGGTTAAACTTAGCTGCAGACTTCTTGGAATTAATCTACTGAGAACAGCCATTCATCTATTCCAACCCACAGAGGATTATTTTTGTCCCATTCTCTCCTGAACTTTCTTCCATTTTCATGCTGGGACTCCAATCTCACTCCAAGGGAAGGCAGTGAGAGACTAGGAAAAGCCACCAGACTGCTTTTTTTTTTGCTAAACCAGAAAACAAGAGCTAAACTGGAACATTTTTCAGCTGTGTTACAGAACACCTTTCCTAAACACTTTAAGGGCCATGTTGAAAAAATACCCACACTGGACACACACCAATGTAGGAGTCACCAGAAATGAGCTTGCTTGCCTATCTCCAACATACAGCCACCTTCCAATTTTTTTGGATCTGCAAAATATACACACAGTTCTTCCTCACAGGATGTTTTGCACTCCCTAACTCACTCAAGAGATTTTTGCAGGTAAGGATTCATTTTCCTCTTTTGAACTGAGTATAGTATGTTCACGCCACTAATTCTCAAACATGAACCACTTCTAGCTCCTAGTTCCCAGTCACATATCATATCACAGCCCCACCCCAAAAAAATGGACACTCATGATTATTTTTGTCCCATTCTCTCCGAAACTTCCTCCATTTTCATGCTGGGACTCCAATCTCACTCCAAGGGAAGGCAGTGAGAGACTAGGAAAAGCCACCAGACTGCTTTTTTTTTTGCTATAGCCAGACACCAGGAGCTAAACTGGAACATTTTTCAGCTGTGTTACAGAACACCTTTCCTAAACACTTTAAGGGCCATGTTGAAAAAATACCCACACTGGACACACACCAATGTAGGAGTCACCAGAAATGAGCTTGCTTGCCTATCTCCAACATACAGCCACCTTCCAATTTTTTTGGATCTGCAAAATATACACACAGTTCTTCCTCACAGGATGTTTTGCACTCCCTAACTCACTCAAGAGATTTTTGCAGGTAAGGATTCATTTTCCTCTTTTGAACTGAGTATAGTATGTTCACGCCACTAATTCTCAAACATGAACCACTTCTAGCTCCTAGTTCCCAGTCACATATCATATCACAGCCCCACCCCAAAAAAATGGACACTCATGAGCTGCAGCCCTGAGAAGTAAGCCCTGCCGTCACAGCCTGCTCTACAGCCTCAGTGCCAGATAAACCCACCAACTGCCAGAAAAGATGATACTGTAAACAAATCTTTCAGAATTTTACTTTGGTGCAAGGTGGTAGTAATACAGACCATCTACTGCCTACCGTAATCCACACCTTCCACTTCTGCTCATTTCAATAACTGGCTGAATTTTTCAAACACTGAACATAGATATACAGCATTTTATTGCCATGACCTTGTCAAAACAAATTAAGAGGCAAAAACACCAGGAAAAACAGTAATAGTCACATTCTGCTAAACATTTCTCTGGAATTACTAGTCTTCACAATCTTCCTAGCAGTCTTAAAGGAGGAATAAAGCGATGAATGTAATTCCAGGTCTATTGCTCACTTACTTGCCTGTGCAAAAAGCCAGGTAGTTAATCAAGCAACATCCCTCTTGTATCTTCTTGGAAGAACTCGGGCTGAGTACAGGTAAATCCATAAGTGATCCTGCAATTCAATTAGCAATTATTCCTCACACAGATCTTCCCACATGCTACAACACTCACACCATTCGTTAACTTGTCCTAGATATCATGGGATTATCAACTTCTTTAGTGACAGAAAACTCTTTCACAAATATTCTTCTCTACCCTGAAGGGAAGTACCTATGTATTTTTGCCATTGAGTTCTACCAGGGATTAAATTTATTTCTCACATTCCTACACTCAGCTTCTTTCTATTATCCAAGTCCTTTTATTGGGCAGATTTCCCCATACAGCTAATGAAAATACAGGTCTCATTGTCAAAACCTTTTTCCCCTCCACCACAGGAATCTATGGTAAGCAACGCGAATTCTTAAAGAACCTGCAATGGCCAAGTTCCAGCATAATGGCCTGTGATAAACATCTGCCTGGTCTGCTGGTGACACACAAAAATGCTGCAGTAGAAAACCAGACCAGAGATCTTTTTCACCTAATCTTAATGTAGCTTGTAATGCAAGCTCCTCAGTAATGGGGTCCTGCCATACTCCCACATTTTATAAATTTGCTGGACTGCATCCACATATTCAAATGCAACTCGTGTTCCCAAGTGTGCTGCTATACCTGGATATGCCTGCCAGCTTTCCCTGGGACATGGTACTCTTTGTCCTACTGGCTATGACAGCCTTTTTGCTGCACTAAGAATTAATCTTTCTCTATCATCTTTCAGAGGCCACAAAACAGAAACATGCTTATTTAATAATCTACACCACAATTTATGAGCCTTATTCAGCAATTCAAGCCTCAACATGTATCCCAGATCCACCAGAGTGGTACCTCCTGAAGATAACCAGAGAGCTATGATTTTTCTATAATGATTTAAGGCTACTACCACTAGACCTTGAAGGGACACTGATGAGTATTATGAACTTGTCTGTCAACTATAGATGGAAGTGCATGCTCTAAGAAAGAATAGGAGCTCGTTACAATTCTTACCTTTTTAGGAGTACTGGTATCTCATACTAATCTTCTTTCCCTGTTGAATGCTCATATTGCTGCCCAAATAGCTCTTCAAAGCTAAGGAGAAAACATGTTTTGAATGCACTCTTCAAGTTAAAATAAAGGCCAGTTCATGCAAAATATTTTTTCTTCCATGCTTATGGGGGGGATTTAAATAAATCACACATATCAATTTTCAAAATACTAAGTGTAAGGGGATGCTGATAATTGAATGTGTATGTTCACCAAGATTGAACTGATGCAGAAGACTGTTCCCCACAACTCATAGAAGCTCATTTGGCATTAGCAGCTAGTTGCTTTTTTTGCTACTCTGCATCTTCTGTTCCTCCCAGCATCTCCAGTTATCTCCTCTAGTTATCATGCCACATAAGTTTTCCATGTTCCATGGGTATATAAAGCATCCTTTTACTAAATATAGACCAGGCTAATAAAATGAGGTTTTTGAAATCTATTTTTTGCTTTCCTAGAAGGGTAAAAGGCACATAAGCCTGGCACAATGTTTCAACTCCAGATTTTAAATAAATTAGCCTTCTTTAGAAGACTACGTTCTTCAGCACTGAAACTTTTCTTTTAGCTTACAAATTCAAAGACTTAATCAAAATGAGAATATTTAGAACAACTGGCAAAATCATTAGCTGCAATTCAAGAAAACATTTTGGCAAGATAGATTATTCCAACACACCACCTACATCAGACATCTGTGGACTAGCCAGTTAAATTGCTAAAGAGAATATATATCTTAGTAAGGTCCTTTTGCTCTTGAAATTAAGGTATCCTATTTTGAAAACCACTCTCATACTTTGGATTGTAAGCACTTGCAAGATCTTTGGTAAACAGACAAGACAGAATGGGTGAAATAAAGCCTTATATTACATCCCTATTTTTCATATCCATGTATTTTTATTCCTATTCTACGGATTGGAAAATAATCAGCAGTAATTGAGGGTTATTTGTTGTAACTATTTGCGATAGTAAAAAATGGACAGGTATTTCATTTCATATGGTTATTCTTACATTTAAAGTTAAAATTTAAGTAACGATTTAAGCCATTTAGAGATGTAAAAATAAAAAAATACTTCATATCACAGGTGAGAGATCAAGTTGCAAATAGATGGCCAGCCTGTTAAAATTAGGCCAAATGCAAGTTAGTTTTGTGCTCAATACAATGATACTTCTGTCAAGCTGTGCATCTCATTCTTTTAAATAACTCCCTAGTAGTTCATAAAAAAGCCTCACTTACCTTCAAGAGTCACTATAATAAAGGTTCTTAAAGGACATCACCTAATCCCATTCCAACATTTTTCTAAACTGTATGAGTAAAAAATTAATAACATGAAATTTATTCAAACATAGCTTGAGCTGAGTTAGATGTTAAAAATTGAGAACTTTTCTTCAAGCTTATTTTTAGAACTATAAACTATGAAAAACAAAAAGTTAGAAAATAGTACATTCCAGGCAATTTGATTATGCACTCAGCATCGTCTACATAGCTAGAATTAGTTTCTACTGGAGGGTAAGTTTCTCTTACCACTAATAGAAAGAAAAAATTATTTAAGGAAAAAGGTAATAATTACAGAATCCTCAAAAAATTGCAGGATGACTCCAGAACAGATAAAATATGCACATACACATTCTGAAAAAGAACAGGAGAAAAGCCCTGTTTGCTCTTGAAAGAAAGCATAATATGGAACAACATAAACTTTCCAAAAAATAAGTATCTAGAATCAAGCCTGTATACCATAAAAGTTGTCGATTCAAATCATTACAAGAACATCCACTCTTTTTGCCATGGACTTAAACTCAGTAGCCAGGTACCTGTAACAGACACTGCTTTGGAATTCAGTCTCAAAGAGCAGAGTCTAGAATCTGGTAGGCTTTGAGGCATGAGATATTTTTCTTAGATATTTTATCTATTTATATGTCCAGATGACTTAAAATGAATATATATTCCTGCTATAGCCTTACAAATATTTTTCTGTTAAACACATAGGATGTTCAAAGCCTTAGAATTATTTCTATTTATGCTACTGAAAGTTTCTTACCTATTCAGATCTTCAAAATCCTTTGAATAATCACCTTGGGAAGAATGACTCTTCTGACATGATTTGTAAGGATTTATACTAAAAGATGTAAGAATATGAGTTTAGGTATATGTTACCAGAAAAGTCTTTTAAAAGCTAGAATAATACAAATTGTTAAACAATGATAAAAAAGCACATTTGATAGATTTTCATACTACGTTTGTTTTTTAAAGAGTGCCATTATATCAAATAAAAGTGATGTACTATTTCTCCTTTACCACTCTTTCATTAACAACCTCTAGGTAGATGTGAAAAGGTCTGTTTCCTTGTTTGGGTTTGCCTAACCAACTGAATGCCTTATGGTAAAGCAGCTCAGTCAGTTCCTCCTGACATTGCTTAAAGAAAGCTTAGAAGAAGTACACTGACATCACAACAGTCATTGCAAAAATTTGCAACCACAGTGAGACATTTTAAGCCAATATTTCTGCTTACACAAGATCCTTCTAAAGCTTTTGCTTCATCCATTTTTCCCTTGAGTAAAGGGGTGCTGAGCAGTTTACAGTAGGAAGTGCCTTGTTAAGCATCAGCAGCCTACAGGATCTAAAGTGACTTATGTTAGTATTTCATTTGTTTGCTTCCCATAATAAGATGTGGCACTTGTACATCACTTACACATTCTAAATTAAGCATGTTTTTCAATTACAGTATCAAAGTTAGACCTTACTGAAAAGCTACATCCCGAACTCGCCATATGAACTTGACGTAAACAAACTTGTACATAGTTGCTTACTCAGGCCTGTACCAAGAAATGCCTTCCACGAGTACAGCTTTGTTAGGAAAGAAATCAGTTACCTTTTTTGGTTTTCCCCCCTTTTTTTATATTTCTGTTGCAGTGGTCATAAGGATTCTCCAAAGCAGAGCTGGGATATGTTGCACTCTATTTGTACTAATTACTGGACTTCCCAAAGATCCTATGTTCTAAGAGAAGAGACATACAGAGGATGGTGCAGAGGAAGATTATCTAATGCGTGTATTGATGCAGACAAATGTATGATAGCCCTAGAGGTGTTTGGTTTTGTTTTTTAAAGGTACTGATAACCTAACTGAGCACAAATAATTAAAGACAAAGAATCCATTTAGCTTCTATATTTTATCTAGAAGCATTGTGTTTTTCCTCAAAAGATGATTAACCAAAAGCCTCAAGAGAAATTACCTCCCACTTCTCCTGTGTAACTGCAATACTATTGAGAGAAGAGCAAGGAAACTTCACTTAACAGAGGGATTGTCATGTTATTTCAGAATATGCTCTTTTGGAAGCAGGTATGGGATGGAGCAACGTGAGAGAAAAAACATAACCAGACTTGTGTGCTTGTGGTTATTTTGTTTGCTTTTAATAAGAAGCACTTATGCTTAGAAGGAATCACTGTGTTACAAAAGTAGTATCAAACATTAAGAGTACAGAACAAGCAGACAGTTGAATGCAAACAACCCTCAGAGCAGCTGCTGTGAATAGGAACTCAGGCTGAACAAAAAAAATGCCCCAAAACATGGTTGGAAACAAGAAGAAATACAGCATACCCTGGCAAGCCAACAGGGTATATGGTTCATTTCAAAAGCCAAACTTCCTACTCCCATGTCCAGCACAACGCAGACTGCGCAGAAGAGTTCAAGCAAGTGATCAGATGCCAACGTTCAGGAAGCTGTCAGGCATATGAATGTAGCTGTAACAGCACCACAACCTGTCCTACTGCGCTCTGCACCCACCGCAGCTGGCATTAACACCTTTGGGCTACACGACTCAGCAGTCGCAGCTGCCAGCCAGGGAGGGAGATGGGGACATACCCATGGGGAATGACCAGGCCAGTAGGAACAGTGGTCTCGCTACCTCTCAAGTCTGTCTACCCACAGCGAGGATACAACACTGCTATATCCAAAGGGAAAGAAACAAGTTCAGATTTCAGTCTTGGGTTCCCTACATTGTTAATAACAGTTTGGGTTTCCTATGAGCCTTTATTATTATGGTGTAGTATCTTTGCCATAAATCTAAGATTTTAAAATAAAATATCCTTGTTCTAAACACATAACTTTGAATCTGAAAGTCAATAAAACAACTCTGTTACTCAGTGTTATCATATGAGGAAAGACATTTGAAGAACTAAGGCACCCCTCAAAACAAGGAAAAGCAGACGAATACATCTCTCCCCTCTCAGCTTTTTAAGAAAACCAAATACAAAGTGTAGGAGAGCACGAGGAATAAGAGAAGAGGCTGAGAAGACACTACTTGGGAATTAAATAGGAAGGACTAGGAACTGGAAAAGTAGAATACACATGATTAAAGACTGAACAGGAATCCTATCATAATACAAAAACATGACAAAAAGTAAACAAAACTCCCTCAGCAACTTCTTGTTCAATTTGATATTATATGTCTAATAACCAAAGATTCACTTTTTTCATATACTGCTTCATAGCAACATTTCTGTTACATACTATTCACTTCAGAAGACGTGGAGTCTACCTGGATCTATGCCTGGGCTGAAGGTCAAGAAAGTTTAGAGATTAAATAATATTGAAGACAAACAGCAAAGAACAGTCATCACAGATTAATAAAACACTGTGCTAATCAGAGCACAGAACTTTCGCAACATTCTTTCAGGCTAACCTAAATGTGATAAACTAAAAAAGGAATTAAGTTATTTTGGCTGTAAGAAGCCTGTCTTCTGAAGTGCTATAAGGAATAAGAGGGTGAGGAGTTTTACTACTGTCCTAAGTACCTAAAAGTACATTAAAAAACTCACTTCAGTTGCAGAAAGAGCAGAGGAAGATGAATTAGCTTTACAGACTACTGAAATTCAAACCATTTTTAGCATCTCAAGCCATAACATCGTATTCAATGTGGCAGAACAAGTTTCAAACTACAATTCTAAGAAGTGAAAATTAATCTTCTATTACATCAGGACACATACAAATCGTGTATTTCTACACTATGCATACATTGTGTAGAGATGAACCTGTGGATTTTGCTTATATGTCCAACAAAAGGATTTCTCTTTTCTGCTGAAGATGCTGCTATTTGATAAAGCTCATCTTCCAGGATAAACTTTGAAGTGTTTGCTATAGGCCTGCTACAAAAAGTCTAATGGAGAGAAAGAGTTTTCTGATCAGAATTTTTTTTGTTGTCTAAACCAAGTCCTGAATATGGATCTCCTTACAAAAAAACAGTAGTTCTGTGGATAAATAACACTTCTCAGGGAAAATGAGATGGAATGAAGAAAAAAGGACAGGTTTTTTGCTAAGATTTTAAGCTTCCAAAATCTACTTAGAAAAGGAATATAAAGCACTAAACACTATTCTCATATCACTAAATGTAAGTTAGGATAATACTCTTCAAACTTGGAAGGTAGTTACTACAATAAACAGATTTATAAAAATACAGGATTAGTAAATTCAGAAAGACTGAATTTTTAACAGCCTTAAACATTAACACAGTATCTCTGAAGTAACATGTTGCCTCAAGAGGGAGGGAATGTTTAGAGGTAAATGAGCAGGAGAAGGCTGGAGATGCAATCCAACTAAGAAACAAGTGACCCATCCTAATTATCTCTGATAGCAGATGCTGCTAACAGATGCTCTCACATTATGCTCAAAAGTACAGCTGTGAGAACCAGAATTAGATACCAAAGGTGCTAAATTTGAAAAAAAGATACTTGAGATATCAGTCTAGGCAGACAAAGCACATTTCTTCCAATCACCTCTGCACTATGAAGCAATCCAAACGTACACTAAGCCCTTTTGCTTAAGCTGTTAATTTTAAGGCTTCACAGCTGTTGGCAGAAATAGATATCACAGATTATTAACAGATGCACTAACCCTAAGAAACAGTTTATTCAAGTCATAGTTGTAGTATGATGACAGTTACTTTGTCTTGCCTCATTTACCTTACCTAGTCTCCAGGCAACAGAATTGTACAAAAGAGAGTAAAAGTTACTTGGAAAAAATCAGGGAAGTAAAAGCATTTTGAACTGCCCAAGAAGTTTTACATTACAAACAAGAACGGAATTACAATTTACTGAAGTAGCTCAAGGGTTATTGCTCTTAGAATTTTTTTCCTGATGTAGGTTCAGCTTTTAAGCATCACAAACCATGAAAGCCTGAATAAAAACCAGCTTTAAGATATCTGTATCTGTTCAGAAGCAAACCTAATAGCTAGAGCAAGATAAGAGATCAGCAGGAGATCTGCACATCAACAAACTCACAGAAATATAAATAGCCTAGTGCAAATTACAACTTTCTGATATTTTCAGGATGCTAGAAATCTCCAAGGGCTATGCACAGCACTCCATCTTTCAGAGTAGCATCTAACTTTTTGGCATCTGATTTATTTAGGGTTCTACTAACTGCAAGAGTACAGTTGTAGTAAGGAAGAAAACGTCTACTTTCCAGACTGCAGTCTTTTGATTCAGTGAAATATTCTAGTGTTAATATCTGCTATAGTCTTTATCAACAGCCAGAAAGAAACATCACTGAGGTGCTCAGCCTTTCCACGTCCAGCCACCACCAGTGGGAACATTTCTGTTGGTTTTTACACTGGCAAAACTGGTGTAAACCAGCTAGGCAAAATTATAATAAGCTGGACTCATAAATGCTCTGAAGAAAATGTTATGCCAACATCTACATTCAGTGGGCCATCACCAACGCAAAAGTAACTGAAGACTTATTAGAATACACAATTTTTTTGTGATAACACTTAAAAGCAACGAGAGCAAAATGACTACAAATCATGTTTTCACAGCTTTTCAAGTTTCCTTTAAGAAAGTCTTTGCACACAAGTAATGCCCTGCCCATGCGCCACAAGAGGGAAGAAGCGATACCACATCCCAGCCCCGAGAGCGCTGCAGGTCTCAGCGCTGCTTTTAGAGGACAGCAACGCAAAACTCTTACTGGACCACAAAATATCAGTGCAGCCTCCAGTGTCAGTTAGCTGAAAACAGAGGGCAGTGCACAGAGTCATGGTCCCTGGAGAGCTCGCTCACCAAGCCACTCTAACTCAAAAAGCTTTCACTTAGGAAAAATAACAGCTCGGTTACCTCTGTATCCTAGCCGGGACAGCCGGAGACAGCAGCAAGGACCATGGGATCACGATGGCTGATCTCTGCACGCCCAATGGGACGCTTGCAGCCTACAAAAAACCCCAACCTTTAAAAGCCGCTTTTGGACACTCACCATTTCAGATGTTGCCATCCCCTAGACGATAGCTACCGCCGAAGCACAGCCGGGACGAGCGGGACCCGCTCAGGCAGCGCGGCAGAAGCCCCACCAACGCGCCGCTGCTACTGCCCCCGTTTAAAGGCCACCCCTCCGGTGCCACGCCACTCCCTGCCAGCAGGCGGAGGCACTGCCACCCGGCTGGGACCCGCCACCGCTTCAGGAAAACCCGCTCTTAAATAAAGCCGGTGGGGGGTGGCCACGCGCGGAGGCGCCTCGCACCCCTTCTCCCGCCGGAGACAGCGGCCCCACGCCTGGGGGAAGCCGCCCCGGGAGGGCCCAGGCGCCGCTGGGCCCGTGCGCCTCGCGGCG